TCTTTCTCTCTCTCTCTCTCTCTCTCTCTCTCTCTCTCATTTTCACTCTCCCCCCCTCTCTCTCTCTCTCTCTCTCTGTTGTTACTCCCCCCCTTTTCTTTTTAATAACCTTCTCTGTTTCGTTCCAATTCTGAGTTCTAACGTATGCCACAGAGGATCGACTGCCCTTTTTTTTTTTCTTTTTTTTTTTTGAATTTATTTATTTATTATTATTATTTTTTTAAACCCTGACTACGCTTTTCGCCAACATCATATCAACATCTAATTTGTAAAAAGATAAAAAGGTAATCTAATTTGCGATATAATTCTCTGTTTTCTTAATAAAAATATATATAATATAATAAATTAATAATATTATAATATAATTCCCTTTTTTTGTGTCCTTGGAGACATCCAATTGCACTGGAAAGATGTGCGGCCTCGATCCACTGCACAACATTGGAAATGTATCTGGACACGCCGTCCTGATACGTTCGGAGTGATCCGACATTTCGAATGTATAGGGATCATTAACAGATACAGATACGTTTATAGACTATTGCCGAGAGGAGCGAGCTCCATAGTGGTTACCTTTTTTTTTTTTTTTTTTTTCCCCTGCACGAGGACTTTTCTGAATGTATCTGACTGCATTTACGGCTAGAACCAGATGATGAATCTGACTGCCATTGCGTCCACAGCTTTAGAGAAAAAGTTCCTAGTGTGAGTATGAGTATGCCCTAAGTGGTTTTGATGAGCGGGTACTCGTTATGTACCATACAGCCACATGAGCTGGATCGACGAAGTTATTTATTATTTGTATTTATATATAAGATATTTTATTTATTTATTGTTAAATCAAACAGAGTAGTCAGTGTGGACAAAATGTTTTGTTTCTTTTGTAAAAAAAAAAAAGAAAAGTTCTGTTTCATTAAAAAAAAAAACGAAAAAAGTTTTGTTTCCCCCCGGCGCCCCCCCTCTTAGTGTGCTTCACAGGACCACGGATCTGATCAGAACAGATGCTGCATTTTATCTGTTTTTTTTTTTTTTTTTTTCCAGAAAGAGCTACGCTTGATCTTTCTGAGCCAAAAGGCCGAGGGTGTATTAAAAAAAAGGGGGAAAAAAAAAAGGGCCGAGGGCGGGGTCCCGCTAGCAGCGAGAGTTGAATTTAAATTTTAAAGCCTTAATTCAAGTTAATTGCGACTGATGTGCTTTCTCCATCTCTCCGCATAAAACAAATCCACATTCAGGCGTTGAAACCAATCCTCTTCAGCTCTTTCTTTTTTTTTTTTT